GGGCTTTGGACCAGAGACCTTTGTCTGAGAGAGGTTTGGTGAAGCCATGGGCTGGAGAAGACCCCCCTGAGAAGTGAGTGACCATCGCAACCCTCTCCCCCCCCCCATGGTACGTCACCCTGGGCAGTGTGGGAAGGAAGTCAGAAGAGGAGGGCAGTGGCCATCAGAGAAGACAAGGCTTGCGGGTCTGTTGCTCCAGAAACCAGGCGAGGAATGTGTTGGAAGAAGGAAGGAAGGGGGTCATCACTTTGTTGTGACTCTGGTTTGGCAGGAAGGCAGCTCTCCCTCATCCTGTGAGTTGCAGTCGAGGTGGAAGCTGTCCACAGGCAGGACTTGAAGAGAAAATCTGGATGTGGAGTCAGAGGAAGACCTTTTTGATTTTTCTGTGATTTTCCTGAGTAGTGTTTGAGCATCCGAGCAGAGAGAAGAGATGGAATCATGAGGAGACTGTAGTCAGAAAGGTACCAGGGTAGCCCTGAACAGCCCATAATTTAGCATAAGGTGATATACAGGGTGCAGATGGAGCTGGGTGAGTATTCTGAACATCCATAGATCAAAAAGACACAATCTGAAGAGAGCTTTTGGGAGAAACCCCTCTGGTTAGAAGAAGCTGTAGAGTGTATGTTTCATTTCATCAGGTGGGTGGTGGGGAGGTGTCCACCTAAGTCAACCGTTAACTCCTTCATTAGAGGCTTTGAAAAACGGTCAATTTTACCCCGAGGCATCCCCTTAGACTGCAGTATTTCTGTAATGAAGCTGCTTAGTGCTCTTTTTACACTGAATCAGCATTGATTCTCTGTTCTCTGAGTCCTCTTGACTCAGAATTGGAATTTCAGCACATCCCTCAGGAACTCCTTCCAGATTCCTTATTCTGATGCTGAGTTGTGGGGACAGCACTTTGCTGCCACCTTGTGTTGTGCATTTTTGTTGTGGGTCCTTTTCAGGAGTTTTTTAAAACTTAGAAATAAGATTTTTTATTTTTGTGTATATTGATGTTCTTGGTGAGTTGTTACTTTTGTTTTGTTTTTCAATAAATACTGGACCAAAGTCCTGTCCACATACTAAAGATATTTTAATCTGTATCAGCTTTTAATAGAATGAATCCATTTTTAATACAGGTTTAATGTAAAAAAATTTTTTTTTGTTTTGTTTGTAGCTGCAATAGTGGGCCTAACCAGCAAATATGGTGAGGCTGGTACATGGGGTTGCTATGATTTGGAACTGACTCTAGTACACCTAAAACACACTGATTTTTCTTTGTAGATAGATGTTCACGAACACTGAATTACTTCCTTCTGGTCTTAGAAAAGGGAGTGCTGATGGCACAGTGGTTAAAGTGCTAATTGGCAAACAGAAGGTCGGTGGCTTGAAAGCCACTAGCTACTTTGAGGGAGAAAGGTGAGACATGGACACCCTATGAGGCAGTTCTACTCTGTCCTGGGGGGCTGTGGGTAGCCAACATCAACTCAACAGCAGTGGGTTTGCTTTCTTGTTTGTTTTTTTGTTCTAGAAAGCTGTAAAGTCCCTGAAGACCTTTAGCCATAATTCTCAAAATTCTCAGCAGAGCTCTGAAGACTCGTCTAGAACATAGAACTAACCCAGAGTCCTCCAGTACATCACAGGTCTTATCCAGGAGAACTAGCCACTAGGTTCTGCAGTCTTCTTTGGTGTTAATTTTCAAATTAAAGATAGTTTTGCGTGGATTAGGAGCACTGGTGGTGCCGTGGGATAAATGTTGGACAGCTAACTGAAAAAATGGCAGTTCGAGCCTACCAGCTGCTCTGCGGGTGGAAGATGAGCTGCTAACTCCTGTAAAGTCTTGAGACTTTACAGGTGCTTCTCTCTCTTATAGATCTCTCTGAATCAGAAGCTACTAGATGGCAGTGGGGTTCCCCCCCCTGGATTCTACTGGCTCTGCCTTTCCCAATAGAGGGAGCCCTTTAATTTTGTACCCAAGCTAGAAACAATCTCAACTTAAACATTCTTCCTTAAAACTCTTTTCTCTCTATTACATTTTCCCTTCTAGTGCAGCCTGGGGAGTGGGGTGTTGCCGAGAGGAGATATTGTAAGAACAGTGAGTGGTAATGAATATACTTCAGATAATATTGAAAATAACTATAACATCACTTGTAACGAGACTCCACTATTTGCCAACATCAACTACTGGCCAGAGAGACAGCACAACGTAATCAGACTCGAAGTGAGAGTAATTTTTCCTTAGATAGATTTGCCATAAATCATAAAAAGAAAAAAGAGAAAGCAAACCCAAACCTGCTGCTGTAGAGTTGATTCCAACTCAAACTCTGTGGGGCAGAGCTGGGTTTTCCAGACTGTCGAGCTTTGTGGCAGCAAGCTGTCACATCTTTTTCCCACAGAGCAGTTGGCGGCGTCAAACAACCAACCTTTTGGTTTGCCACTGAGCACGTTAACCACTCTGTCCCCCTCCTGTAAAGAGGTTAGGCAGGTGAATCTGTTTTCATATTTGCTGTCTATATGGGCTATCTTATGAATTAGACAGGGAGTTTTTTGCTGGAATTGTTCTGAGTTAATTGTCATTGAAATGATCTTTATTCCTCTAACTCTCATGGCAGGGAGGGGAATATGTGTGAGAGAGGGTCTATTCTTCTTTTCATAAACTTTTAAAAGAGTATTTTTAGGTTTAAAGAAAAATTGCATAGAATGCACAGAGAGCTCCCATATAATCCCTCCCCACCACTCAGTTTCCTTTCTTATTGCCTTGTGTTCCCTCAGTACATTTGTTACAACTGATGACGCAGTATGTGGTTAGCCCATGGTTGACTTTTTGTGTTGTCCCCGTGCATGGGTGTGGACAAATGCATTATGTCATGTGCCCACCATTGCAGTATCTTACAGAATAGCTTCTCTGCCCTAAAAATGCCCAGAGTAATTCTTAGAAGTGAGCACAGTGAGGTTGCTATCATACATTGGACATGTTATCAGAAGGAACCAGTCGCTGGAGAATATCATCATGCTTGGAAAATAAGAGGTTTGGTGGAAAAAAAAAAAAGGAAAAACCCCCAATAAGATGAATTGACACAGTGGCTGTAACAGTGTGTTCAAACCTAGCAACAATTGTGTGAGGATGACGCAGGATAGGGCAGTGTTTCATTCTGTTTGTACATGGGGTCGCTGTGAGCTGGAAACAACAGCAATGACAAAAAGGCCCTATGTTTCACCTATTCAGTCCTGCCCCCCACCCCTTGAGCCCCCAGCGGATCTTTTTACTGTCTCTACTTTGACCTTTGTCGAGGTGTTGTATACTTGGAATCCTGCAGCGTGTAGCCCTTTTCAGACTGGCTCCTTTCACTTATCAACATGGATTTAATGTTCTGTGCCTTTTCATGGCTTGATAGCTTTTTTTTTTCATCTTATATGTTTTATTGTGAATTATGTGATAGTTTACATGGGAGAATATTAGTCTTACATTCTATCGTGTATCGTCTCATTGTCATGGTTACAATCTCCTCCTTGCAATCCTTTCCCTGTACCCCCAGGTCTTCAGCACACAGTCGCTCTCCCTCTCTGGATCTAAAGTCTCCAGCTGCTCCATTGCTCCACGTCATCATCTCTGGCTCCATTTCAGGCATCATTGTTTCTCTAGGTAGGGTCCCGCTCTCTGCTCTTCTCTCTTGATGATCCTAGGGACCTCCTCTCCTAGACTGAAAAGTTAATCACTCCCCTCCTTGCTATAAAACATCTACCTTTACATTTCCTACCCTCACAATCAGTCCTGATGACAATTATTCACTATGTATCACAAGAGACCCGTCTGCATTTCATTGCATCAGCCCCGCCTAGTCAGATTGAATACTACTCACTGGAGATTCTACCTTCCTCCAGGCCCTCTGGATCTAGGTTCCCTCTTGAAAGCTTGTAAGCCAGTCACTTCTTGCCTTTGTAGCCCTCTGCCCCCCATTTTGGGTAGCCAATGTCCAAGTTGCCCATCCCTGTCTACTCTGTGTGTGGAGGGGGTGGGAATGATTCTTGCTGTAAGGACTTGTTCCCTCCTTGGAGCTACTGCTTCCATAGGTGTAGGTCAAGTTCATCAAATTGTATGAGAATACTTTTTTTTTTTTTTCCTCTTCTTTTTACTTCTGGTTGAGCTCTGATCATCCTGTCACTGAAGCCAGGATAAGTGGGTGTTATCTGCAAGTGTGGGTGTTCTTATGCCCTCTCTTCTTATCAGCTGGACGCTTCACTCTCCACTCTAGTCCTCTGTGGCTATGTCACTGACTCTGGGCCCAAGAGTCCCCAGGTCTTGTCACACTGCTGGCCAACCAGGTCTTCACCCGGGTTCACAGAAGTCTATTGAACATTGTAGGGGTTAGCTCACTGCTTTATTGCTGTTTTTCCCACACTTTCCCTTATTGGTGTCGAGCGTGGTCACCAATCACAGCGTGTCTTCCCATTGAGTCTTAGTCTTGGAAGGGGGTTTGCACTGAGGGGACCCGACCACTTGCCTTGATGTTTCCTGGGCAAGCATGTTGTTTGTTCTTGTAGTAACAGTTGGTCTGCCTATGTTGTTTTATATTTTTCCTGTAGGCCTTTCTTTCAAGAAGTATCTTCTGTTCTTCTAGCCACTCCAGGTTGGTCTGCTTGTCCTTTCAAGTGGGAATTTTCCGTCTCTGGAGATCTGGATATGGTTCAGGCTTCCACTTATAGTCTTATGTATTTTGATAGCTTTTCTTAAATTGCAGAATCATATTCCATTGTATGGATACACTGGGCTTAGCTCATCTACTCACCTATTCTCATTTTTGGGTTGTTTCTATTTTTTTTCAGAGTGTGGTTTAATGCTGAGGGCATCAATACATCTAAGCCATTCTCAGAAACATAAAAAGTCTGAAATGATGTTTCCTGATGTGGGTTTCCCTCGATGTGCGTCCTCAGGGCTTTAGTTGATCCAGACATGTAGGTGCTGGGATGGAGGAGGTCTCGCCACCAGATACCACGGGCAGCCGCAGCGAAGGGCAGACTCGTCAATCGTCCTTCTTAAATTTGCCGCTGATGTAGGATACCCAGTCCAGGATCAGCCTCCAGTCGGTGGCCCATACCAGGCCCACAGCACCCACGGTGCCCCGCATGGCCACAGTGGGCATCCAGTTCTTGGCCAGCTCCCGGTAGCGCGGGCCCGGGAACCTAGTCAGCATCGCGGCACAGTCCCGTAGCCTCAGGGTCACCCTGGGCTGGCCCGACCCGAACGCAAATCGGGTTGTTTCTATTTTGTGTGTGTGTGACAATTATGGATAAAGCTGCTTATAGACATATGTAGGCAGGTTTTCATGTGGGCTTGTGTTGTCATCACCTTTGGGTAAGCACCTAGGAGGAGCACACTTGAGTAGCTTTGTAGGAAACTGCCCGTAGGAAACTGCCCGACTGTCTTTCTGATTGGCTACAGCATTCTGCATCCCCATCAGCAGTGACTTCCTGTTGCTCCACATCCTTACAACAGTTGGTAGTGTCAGTGTTCTCTGGATTTTAGCCTTTCCAAGACATGTCTAGAGTCCTGGTATGGCACTGTGGGCTAATGCGTCAGACTGCAAAGTCATTTCAACTGCAAGGTTGGTGGTTCAAGGTCACCAACTGCTCCTTGGAAACCCTATACAGGGTTGCTATGGGTCAGAATCGACTCAAAGGCACTTAACAACAAGTGTCTAGCTATATCTCCTTGTTGCTTTTATTTGTAGTTTTGTAATCACCTGTGATGTTAAACTTATCTTTTCATATGGTCATTTGGCTTCTGTTTTCTCTGGTGAGGTTTCTGTGCCTATCTTTGGTTCATCTTGTAATTGGGTTGTTTGCCTTCTTGTTGTGAATCTTAATAGTCCTTTATTTATTTTGGATACAAGTTCTTTGTCTGGAAAGTGTTGAATGGCAGTTGAGGAAATATAAAGAAAGGCATGTATTTTTTAAAGGGGAAAAATAAAAGGTGTTCATTTCTTCTGGAGTAGCTGTTGTTCCAGGAAAGAGTTCACCAAGCTTAGAAAGAACCTTGAAGAGCTCAGTGATGTTGGTTGGGTGGCACGGAGGGGCCGCCGGAATGTTGCTGCCTGCCCAGCAGAGCAGCATCTGTGCACTTTGGAAGCATCTGCATACTGAGGGGGTAGGCTTTCTGTAAGTTGTCTTCTGCTCCTTAGTAAGATAAATTGCATACTCATTCAACTCACTCGTGACAAATTTGTAAATGAAAAAGTAGATGCTTGGCGCTGCCGTGTCTTAGACGTGTGGCAGTTTCCTCGCCCTCGGCCTTCATCCCTTGGCTGTCAGACCGCTCCAGTTGTGAGAATTCTTTGAAGTAACAAATGTGAAACACCCACCACGTCATTTGTCACAGTGCTGGAGATCTGGCCCTGGTGGTGCAAATGGCTGAGAGTTTGGCTGCTTGCTCCAAGTTTGTGGCTTCCAGTGACTCCGTGAGAGCCAGACTTGGCAGTCTGCTCTTGTAAAGACGGGAGACCTTGCCCCATGGGGTTGCTGTGAGTTGGAATCAGCTCTACAGCAGTGGGTTTGATACATAGTGTTGTGGTTAAGTGCCATGGAGTTCCTGGTGGGTTTGAGCCACTGGCCTTGTGGTTAGCAGTCCAGTGCTTATCTTACAGTGTGTCATACCAGGACTCCTTGGATGTGTCTAAATGCAAGTTACTCCTATTCCTGCTTATACTGCCACCCTTCAAATAGGCTTGCTAACTTTGTAACTCTTTCCAGAATGTTCTTTCCTACAGGGGTCAAAGACCTGAGCGTTGTCACCAGTACCGAGTGTTCTTTTCCCTCCTATTTTCCCTCATTTCATCCTGCTTGTCTCTCACCCTGTTGTCCCACCTATGCTCATCAATACTTTGGGGGTGCTGCACGGGGCCTCTGCGATGTAACGGTTACCGACCGTGTCTCCTGCAGCCCTTCAAGGCAGGGCTGATGGCACTGCTACTCTGATACTCCACAGCTCTCACTCTAAGTTGCCTAGAGATTTCTACACCGCTACACAAGTTCTGGTGTGGCACTATAGGGTAAGCACTGGACTGCTAACCTTACAGCCAGCAGTTCAAACCTACCAACTGTTCCTCGGAAAGACTAAACTGGGTCTGTGAATCAGAACTAGCTTGATGGCACTTAACACCACCACCGACACAAGAAAGCTGTATGGGGCAGTTCTAGTCTGTAACACACGGGGTCGCCATGAGCCTGGCTGACTTACAATATGCAGCATTACAATGTGATCTTTTTCTTTTCTGTTTCCTTTGACCTGTGTTTCTGTAATAAAGATAAACTCATGTGTGGTCTTGTTAGAATGGCCCTGAGAAGGTAGTATTCTACAGCTGTGAGACCTTTAGCTGGGATCGTTCCTTGTGACTGGAAACTTAGTGTTCCAATGTAAGTAATTTCTAATAATGATTAGTGTTGACAGCCATAGGTTTGATTGCTCCATTTGCCTGTACAGTCTGCATTTGAAACTAAAATGCATTCCTTTTTGCAGGGCGATCTGAAAGCGTACCTGCGCAACGAGCAAGAGCACGTGCGAGGGGACTCGCAGACCATGCTGCTGCAGAGGATGGCATGTGAGATCGCAGCAGGGCTGGCTGCCATGCACAAGCTGCACTTCCTGCACAGGTCAGCAGAGGGTGGGTGGAGTCTCAGTGTACAAAGCATAGCTGTCCTGGACCTCTCAACCAGAAGGGAGTCCAGTGTCAATACAGTGCTCCCTGGCCCAAGGTAGAAGTCAATTCCAGAATTTCAAACCTTGTGTGTTCCTCAGAGCTCCGCCTATCTCCTGACAGCTCTCTTGGTGCTCAAAAAAATTCATTTTGTTATTGAGAAACTAGACCTAACAAAGCATTATCCCAACAGCTTTCACATGTAGGATTCAGCAACATCGCTGACATTCTTCAGGATGCTCTTACGTCCTTTTAATGCCTGCTTTAGGCCTCTGGAGGCACCCTGGTTAAAATGCTTGGCTGCTAACCAAAAGGTTGGCGGTTCAAACCTACCAGCCACTCCAGTGAAGGAAGTGTCTGTTTCTGTAAAGATTTACAGTCTTGGTAACCCTTTGGGACAGTTCTGCTTTGTCCTGCAGGGTCACTTGGAGTCAGGCAGACCTGACGGCAGTGAGTATTTTGGGGGATTTTAGGGTTCTGGTCCTGACTGTTGGGCTTCACAGTGTACATACGTCCATTGCCAGTCTAGGATCCTGAGAGTGGGAGCGGGTGTCTGATTGGCATTACACCATTTTTTCCCGTAAGGTCCTTGCGTTGGTTTCTGGCTAATCTAAGGGTTGGCTTCAGCCAGGGGTCCCCCCTCAAAGCAGACAATGTTGAGGGGTCTGAGCTGAAGAGATCTGCACGTGCGGAGGTGGTGAGGTGACAGGTCAGCAATGACTGCCCAGGTTTCAGGGCCCACTTGAACGGCCACACGTGGTTGGGAGCCCCATGTGTGTTTGTATCCTCAGTGGTGATGTTCTTCCTTACAACATTCTGCTGGAGCTGGTGACTTGTTGTCTGAGAAGGAAGTTTCTGCTTATTCTCCAGCCTGTAAGTGCAGCTGTATGTTGAAAGTGTCGTCGTGCTTTGGTTCTCTGTACTGGACAGGCCCAGCTGTGTGTGTTGACTGAAGGGATGTCTCTGGAGTAGGATCTGTTAGTATAAAGTCAGAGAATATAGCATGGCTCTCTTTTATATAAACACGAGAAGACAGCTGGCTCTGTGCGCATGTGTGAGAGAGTGGACGGGCATAGAAGAATACTGGCAGACTCTCGGCTTACTTCAGGGTGAGGGAAGACATATTTTCTTATATATCTGTATCTTGTTTGACTTTCAGTAAATCATTTTGGTAACGTGCTATTTTTTAAATGTGGGTTTCTTAAGGGCCAGGACAGAATTCTCTGTATAAAACTATAATGATCGATTTATTTTACTTAATTTTAAAGTTTTTATTGTAAATTGAGTGATAATTTACATGAGATAATATCGGTTTTACACTCATCCTGTGGTATTTCGTTTCATTGCAGTGATTACAATCCCCTCCGTGCATTCAACAGAATTTGCTTCTATTCCCTCTGGGTTTTTTTTTTTTGGGGGGCGGGGGGGGTTGTGGGAGGTGATGTACACAGAAGTACTCAGGAATATATAATCATTTAAACAACCAAAGGGCACATTCTGCAAGCCTGCCTCCTGGCCACCAGCACACAACCTGTCTCTTTCCATGAGTCTAGAGACCTCAGCTGCTCCCTCTCTCCATGTCCTCATCTCTGCCTCCATCTCTAGTGTTGCTGCTTCTCTGGATAGAGTCCCACATTCTGCTTATGCTCTTCTTCCTTGATGGTCCTAGGGTCCTCTGTTCCTGGACTGTAAGATTAACTGGTGGTGGTGGTGGTAGTGTGCCATGGAGTTGGTTCCAACTCATAGCGAATCCTGTACAGGGTTTTCAAGGCTGTAAATCTTTACTGGAGCAGAAAGTCTCATTTTTCTCCCATGGAATGGCTAGTGGTTTCCAGCTGATGACTTTGAGGTCAGCAGCCTGACTTGTAACCACTACGCTATCAGAGCTCCTTTAAGATTAATAACTCCTCCCTTTATGGTACAAAATTCTATCTCTTACAGTTTTGACAATCACAATTTCTCATGATAACAATTACTATTGAATCATAAGAATCTTATCCCCCATCTCCTTTCATCAGACTCATCAGACAAGATGAAAACTATTTAGTGGGGATTCTGCCTTTCCCTGCATACTCTGAATCTAAACTCCCTCTTGAAAACTTGTAAGCCAGTCACTTCATGCCTTTATGTTGTGTTATGTGCCATGGAGTTGGTTCTGACTCATAGTGACCCTGTACAGGGTTTCTGAGGCTGTATATCTTTATGGGAGCAGAAAGCATCATTTTTCTCCCGCGGAACAGCTGGTAATTTTGAACTGCCGATCTTGAGGTTCGCAGCCCGATTTGTAACCACTACTCTTCCAGAGCTCCATCATGCCTTTATAGTCCCTCCCATTTTAGGTAGCCAATGTCTAAGTTGCCCGTCCCTATCAACCCTGTATACAGAGGGGATAGGATTGATAACTTGATGTGAAGACTCCTTCCCTCTCAGTTGGTATTTTGAGCTACTGCATCCATAATTATAGGTCCAGTTCATTAAATTGTAGCAATTTATAATTGTTTCCTTTATCGGATTTTTTTTATCTTCCTCTAGTTGAGTTCAGATTATTTTATTGAGAGTTTTGGCATCTATGTTCATGAGGAATATTGGTCTATAATTTTCTTTCTTAGTGATATCCTTCCCTGGTTTTGGTGTGTGGGTTATGCTTGCTTCATAAAATGTATTAGGAAGATTTCCGTCCTCTATTTTCTGGAATAATTTGGATAGAATTGGTGACAGCTTTTCCCTGAATGTTTGATAGAACTCACCAGTGCAGCCTAGATTAATTTATTTTAGAACGGAGAGAGCTTGCATTTTGGTTTTGAATCTTTATTGTTAAATTTTTGTAAAATACAGACGACTGCTGCCTGATATCTACCTGGTTTCAGAATAAGTTAAAGAAAATGCCCCAAACAATGTGGTGTTTGTTTGTCTTAGTAACATTTGTCTGTGTTTTCCATAAAGGTTTGTGGTTTAGCCTCCCCTTCAGTGGTCTCTACCCAGATTGTTGAGTGACGTTAGTTACAACATGGTAATGGTCTCATTCCTTCCCTTCCAGTTCCATTACATTTGTCTAGCTTCCCTGCTCCCTTACTTACAGTCTCAACTCGTTTTCAAAGTAAAGGTTGACTATTTGGTGTGTACAGGTGACTATTAAAAGGAACACAATTCTGACTAGTTATTTTCACTATTTCTTGAGCCATTTTTTTATTTAGCTACAAGTGACCACCTCAGGGGTTAGTTTTGGTTCAAGGTTTGAAGAATACCTCAGGACAGTAGACTCGAGTCCCTCTCAGTATGTGTGTTTTTGTTTTGTGTGGGTGTTCTGTTTTTTTGCAGGGCAATTTGAGGTTCTATTCCATATTTTTCTCCCATTCTTTCAGGGCCCGTCTATTGTTGGTAGTGGTACTTGAGCACCATCTAGTTCTTCTGGGCTCAGGGCTGGATGGTTCATGGAGAAAATCATTTTGCTTTAAAAAATAACCATATTTTGATTTCCACTTGAGGTACAATTTCTTTTCTTGTGTGGAATATTCTGTTTAGCACTTTTAAAAATTAAAAGTTAGAATATTTATTGGCTGGCTAACCATAGGACTCTGTTGGTTAAAAATAGGACAGCAGATGTCGACTTTGTGTGGAAATTGAATCCATTAAATCAGTCCCAATTAAATTAAATTAAATTGTATTTTTATTGCTATTTGAGGAGGAGACCTATCCCCACATCCCAAGTGAGTTATGTTTTTGTGAGATAGTTCATAGGACAATCGGGAAGGCCATGTGACTAGCAGGGGCTGACAATGTGTGGTCATTCCTTGCCATACTGGGCTGTGCTGGTCAAGAACGTGGGACACCCTGCCCCTCAAATGCAGGTCCTCCCTCACACGCTCAGTGAAGAGGGTCCCTGTGCCCCAGAGCCTGTGTAGCCCTAGCCATGAGGCAGCTCTTAGAGTGAGGGCTGTGCTTGGAAGTTGTTAAAATGCTGTCGAGTTGGTTGCTACTTGTGTTGACCCTGTATAGGGTTTCTGAGACATGTGTTTCAATCCTTGAGGGAGCAGAAAGCCTCATCTTTCTCCCATGGAGCGGCTGGTAGGCTGAAACTGTGTACCTTGTGGGTCACAGTTTAAGAACCTCTTTAAAGTCAGCCTGGGAGCCCCTGAGTGATGCAAATGGTTAGGCACTCGACTGCTAGCCAGAAGGTCGGTGGTTAGGACCCACCCAGAGGCACCTCAGAAGTCGAGCCTGGTCATCTGCTTCAGAGAGGTCGCAGACTTGACAACAGTCTGGGTCAATTTTACTCTGCACACACGGGGGCGCCACTAACAAAGTGAACCGGCTTCCTTGTAACTTGCTGTTATCCCTCGATGGTGGGCATTGCAGGTCCCAGGGGCTCATCAGTACACACTTAGGGCTGGGGGTCATTTACGTGGTTGTTTTCCTGAAATTGTAGAAAACTGGATGGCTAATGATCTTGGGCTGCTGCTTTAGCTTAAATGGCCCTTTTAGTCAGTGAGTTATTAGGTGTTTTCTTTAATTTCTCTGTGTGTAATCTTTAGATGATATCTTCTAAGATTCCTTCTAATTGTTTTAAATATGGGTCTATAAAGAAAAAAAATGTTCATATGCGATGATTTTGCTTTAATTCATTTGATTGTATATGTCAAACCAAAGTCCCTGTCACATGGTGGTAGTGGTGGTGGTTATGTGCCATGCAATTGGTTCCAAATCATAGTGACCCTGTATAGGGTTTCCAAGGCTGTAAATCTTTATGGGAGCAGAAAGCCTCATCGGTCTTCTGAGGAGCAGTTGATAGATTCGAACTGCTCACCTTGTGGTTAGCAACTTAACTCATAATCCACTATGCTACCAGAGCTCCTTGTCAAATAGTGATATTAAATGAAAAATACATCAGTAAAGTACGATTCTAATATCATCTTGATTTTCTGATTAAAACGTAAAGATTTGAGGGTTTGGAAGCAG